ATGGAGGCCATCAATGAGCAACGGCGCTTAGAGCGAGAGGAGAAGGAGAAGGAGGCGGAAGGCGGCGAAAAGGCAGAAGAACCAGCTGCGCAGCCGCAAGAGAGTGGGCCGAAGGAACTGAAGCTCGTAATCAAGGGCGATGTGAGCGGAAGCGTAGAAGCGGTCGCGGGCGCGTTAGAAGGGATAGGCAATCACATCGCTCGAGTCAAGGTCATTGCGACTGGCGTCGGCGACGTCACCGAGTCGGACGTCATGCAGGCCAAAGCTGCAGAAGGTGAAGATCACGCTCGAGATCTCGGTCAATAGCTACTGATGAGTATATGGTCGCCAAGGTACTGCTGTTGCCTTTTCCGTCAACACGCCCCGTCATGCTCAGTCTATTGCGACCTCCCAAAGTGTCCCTCTGATGTCGTCGACGGTAATCCACCGCCTGATGGACGATGTTAAGGAACGCGTTATTGCGCTGCTGCCGCCGATCATCGAACAGCGGGTGCTCGGCGAGGCCAACGTCTTGCAGCTCTTTGAGATTTATCTCAAGGGCAAGAAAACCATGAAGATCGCAGGTTGCCGCGTATCAAATGGTGTAGTAAACAAGACTAAACTTGCGCGTGTCATAAGGAATGGTGAGATGGTTCACGAAGGTACGTGAATATCACCATTGCAATGTCGTGATTCGGCTGACCCATTGTTGTCTCAGGACGCCTGGAGACCCTCAAACACCGTAAAGACGACATCACGGAGGCTGCCAAGGGCACCGAGTGCGGCATAGGGTTTGAAAAGTATGACGATCTCCGCGAGGGAGACGTGATACAGATCTACCAGGAAGTAGAAAGGCCGGGTAATTTATGATTACATTGGCCGGAGCAACGCATCCGACGCCCAACGCTACATACCATACCTCATACAGTGCATTACCATCCCTGAATGCTAGATCAACCCAGAGTGTGCTTCGCTCTATTCATATCGTCCAAAATGATCTCCTTGCTGCCGATGGTACCCGTCCTGCCGCCGACGCCGAATGTCAGGGCTATGTTTCCAAGGTCGCGAGTGGGTTTCGAGAGAATCGCCCAGCTACGCGTGTCGTTCTTTTTGAGATTGAGTTCCACCTGGCACATCGCAGCTATACTAAGCGCCCCAAACTCCACCTCCAGCACTAGTGACTATTACATACTTTCGTTCCGTAATATTTGAAAGAGGATGCCTCAGGATCAACGGGGCCGAACAACTCTATGGGCTTGCGGAACCGCTTTGACGCGGGCAGGTAGAGATCAAGATGAATCTGAAATCTCGATGAGCGGAAAGAAGACGTACGGTGAATACAGGATCGAAAGTTCACTCACAGCGTTCCGCTCGATCTTCACTGTACTGCGCTCCTGATCCGCTTGCTTGGCAAACACAGAAACGTGTACGGTGGTCGGAGTTTGGTAGTGATCGATACGGCAGTCTGTGAATTGCTCAACCTGCGGCGGTGAAATTCGACGGAGTCTCATATGGATGCGGCGGACGAAGCTTACGGCAGCGTCCCGGTTCTTTGGTATAAAGACGTGGCGACCAGTCTTGCATCCTTGGATTTTGAGGAACTCGTCGAACTCTAGAACGCG